AATCGGAAACGACTTTGGGATGGTTCTACATTTGTATGTCAACACCACTCTTCACCAAAGTCTTTTACTCCAAGTGCTTCAAGGCCATGGCATCGTCGTCTATCAAATACTATTTAATCTGCAAACGTGTCAAAAGCTTCAAACAATCTCTGAAACCCACAAATCTATCTCTCCAAACCTTGAACGTATTTTTGAAATTTGGCTGAGGGAAAGTTTTGAATTACGTGAAGCTCTTTAAATCTTTGTATCTCTTCATTTTTAAGCTGAACTTCACGCGGATGCTAGACGTTTGGGTACCCGGAAGTATCGGTAGCTAAGAAAAGGATGTTCCGTAATTTTTGTATTAAATAAATATGAAACGTTGAAACGTTAGCTAAAGTACAAAAAAAAATCTTATAAAATATCGGAATTACTTTTTACAAGTACCGAACGTCAGTACATCACTCTTCATGTTTTAGCGATATTAAATAGGACGACTCGGCCCGTTGACATCAATATATTGTTGTCATTATATAAAGCGTGATATAGTGATGGACGAGTTATCTTGTTGTATGTGTTTAACATTATATGATACCTCTTCTTTTTCTTTTTTTCTTCTTATATAACATTTGATCATTTCTGTATTTTTGTTCACACGAATATTTCTATAATCCGAAATTGCACATATCCAGAAGAGGACGTTTCTAAGTTGTGAAAACATTTGTCTAATCCTATGTCTTAACGTTTTTCCTCATGTTGGTAGGTACAAACTGTCCACCACTTCATATAGGCCTAGCACAAACAGTTACGTATTTTATATGTGACGTTCCTATGACTAGAACGATATGTACTCTGTCACCTTCACCAGACAAACGACGTTAACACGTAACATATACACGTCACACATGTTACACATACACGTCACACATGTCACACATACACGTCACACATACGCGTCACACATGTCTGTCACACATACACGTCACACATACACGTTACACATGTCACACATACACGTCACACATGTCACACATACACGTCACACATGTCACACATACACGCCACACATGTTGCACATACCCGTCACACATGTCACACATACACGTCACACATGTCACACATACACGTCACACATACGCGTCACACATGTCTGTCACACATACACGTCACACATACACGTCACACATGTCACACATACACGTCACATATACACGTCACACATGTCACACATACACGTCACACATGTCACACATACACGTCACACATGTCAATTCAAACCTGTATACAATTTTATCCAATACATTATTAAGCGATAAGTAATAAGATTGATTTAAACTAAACATTAACTGTTCCACGCTATGTATCGTATTCGCGGGATTTCACTAAGCTCGTTTTATGTCAATAACCACCGATTCTGCCGGAAGCCAACATCAACGGCCTTTATGGTGGTATAGCTGGAACTGAAATTACTCTCATATGGGTTTTTCAATTTTGTGATCGTACAAAAGCCGATAAGACCACAGACAGTTTATTGTCCCGATCCTGATGTTCTGAGTTTACCATGGCAACATAAGTATACGGTTATTGGAGAAGCTCTTTCCACAGCGAGGCTGCCTGTTTTACGTGCATTGTATTAATACAATCTTCATATATCGGAATAACAATGATAAACCAATAAATTTGTGTAAGTATATCACAATTGTTCAGGAATTGATTTCCATAAACGTGGTGAAAAAAACATCACAAACACCTGTAAAACGGACATTCGATAAACCGACCAACTTTGTTGGCAGCAAAAATGGCCGACACCGAGCCAGCTAGATTACTGGAAAAATTGGTAAAACAAACGTGAAATCTGTCCTATGGAACATTAGGCGAGCATTGGGGAGACTGGAAATAGTGGAGGTCGGACTAAAGAGGGCTCCGGATAAGCGCAGGTCCGGATCCATAGTGGCCGTATTAGGAAGGCTGGATATCATATCGAACGAGATTATATAGTTACTGCTAGGACATTTATAACACTTTACAGACTGAAGCATGTAGATCGTGGACAGGAAGTGGACGGTTCCATACATCCGTTTCTAGACCAATCCCCATGCGGGTCCAGGGACACAATTTACTTGCTGTATCCCACAGCATGCCGTTAGAGACTAATCGGATATATTTCTTTTCTTTTCTTATTTCCCTACTCTACATCCGTCTTCAAATGACATTAGCGGTTGTAAGGATACTGGATCCCAAACACACAATTAATTGAAATATTCTATATAAAGAATAACCAAATCGCATCCATTATGAGCTATCTCACTTTCCGTATTAAAACAATGTATTAAGATACCATACTGACCAATGAGGGTGCCCGTTTCTTTCAATATCTATGGTAACCAGCTGCATGGCATGTATTGAAAACAGCTACAATTAGGCATGTCTGTTATTTTTATTAGGAATTGTAATGGACGCAGGCTTTAAGTCTCTGCATCCATATACAAATCGTTTGAAGATTTTCTGCGAGTGGCCTCTTGTTTTTCTGTTATTGTCAATTTCAAACATATTTGAAGTGACTCTATAATCATACATATTATTCCTAATTTTATTGAATTGGCATTTCCTACAATGCAGAAGCCATGCAGGTCGGGAGATTCAGAAAAGAATATACTTGCTGTTACCTACCGCGTGCTGTAAAAGGCGACTTATGCGGGAACCACTGCAGAATTGGGAATCCACTTTTTGTGACCTCTAATGGGGGGCTAGTGGCTACATGTACTAGCCCCTAAGTATTTATGAAGAATTCCCAGCTTCATTTTACTACTAGCTTATCTCCCCTAGTTTGAAAATCTCAGAATTAATTATTTCCTCTCATTTCTAACTACTCTTTTGGATTCCAAACGAGGAAGGTTATGGGATGTCCCGTGACAAAGCTAACCAAAGTCCTAAAATTTGGTAGTTATGTAGTTATTACTGGCTGTTCGACGGTCAGCGTCAAATGGGTGTCGGTAGGGACTGGTTAGCCCTTTGTCAGTATAATATGACCGGGTGGAGAGTTATACTGTCATGTTCAGGTTATGAAATATTACAGTGAGATGTCACCTATAAGTGGCCCTTTAGTAGACACCGTCTGTATATTACCTTGTCAATGAGTTGTTATGGTAACGTTAACGCTATACAAACTCAAAAAACCAGACAATGAGTTGTTACGGTAACGTTAACGCTATACAAACTCAAAAAACCCGACAATGACTTGTTACGGTAACGTTAACCCTATACAAACTCAAAAAAACCGACAATGACTTGTTACGGTAACTTTAACCATATACAAACTAAAAAAAACCGACAATGACTTGTTACGGTAACGTTAACCCTACACAAACTGTAAAAACCCGACAATGAGTTGTTACGGTAACGTTAACGCTATACAAACTGTAAAAACCCGACAATGACTTGTTACGGTAACGTTAACACTATACAAACTGTAAAAACCCGACAATGACTTGTTACGGTAACGTTAACACTATACAAACTGTAAAAACCCGACAATGACTTGTTACGGTAACGTTAACCCTATACAAACTGTAAAAACCCGACAATGACTTGTTACGGCAACGTTAACCCTATACAAACTCAAAAAACCCAACAATGACTTGGCTCGTTGGAGTGGATATAACGCACTTGCCTTTCACCAAGGCGGCCGGGGTTCGATTTTCCTATCAGACGTGTCAAAAGGTATGGGGTCACCTGCTCTAACACGTGAGTTTTCTCCGGGTTCTCCGGTTTCCTCCCATATAAGACCCCCGGCGCTAACCTTTGGTCCAACAAGAGTGTTTAATAGAAGTTGAATTAAATAACTTGCTTCATAATTATTGTAAAATATGTATAATTTATATATTTAAATTAAAAAACCTACAATGACAATTTGCTTCTACAAATACATGTTTGCACTGACATATTAATATTATAGCTTGTGTACTTCTGCCTTTACTTGTGGCGACTGTATTTGCCATGGGCAGATAACTCTGTATTTTTTTCGGGTTGTTTTTCTGTTAAACAGATCTCGTTAACAGACTTTTTTTCTTTATTGGACTGATAGGGTTTTAGGGGGAATTTTAAGACCCTGAAACATTAAATAATCATATTTCCTGTTTAGCTTAGTCAAGTTTGGCGTTCACGTCTAGCTTGCAGTAAATGATAGGCTAAGTGGGCATTGGAGACGGAATGACAAATTCTATCCGGCTTTGTGATATAGAAAATACACCGAGAATCTGTATGACGTGCTTTGAACATTCATGTGACAAAGGATTGATATATGGACAATATCAGATTAAGGTGTTTAAGCCTTACTCACCTGCGTATATAGGTATATATTTAGTGTTCGTAGCGTGCGCGCCCAACCAAACTTGATCAGTTAATGAAATATGACGAATCACCGGAATAAGCTTAGGTTTCCAATGGTGTTGGATCTAAGAGAGCTACCGATAGTGACAATGAAGGTGACAACGACAGAACCATCAATACTTACATCTTAACAGTAAACTGATGGTACATTGATGAAAGCGGAATAGAAGTGACAGAAAAACAAGTTTAATTGGTCTTTTCCAGGAAGATTTTGGGTTGTTTATTGACATGTAACTATACGTACACACTAATTGACTCCGGAGACTGTTAATCCCCTCCGCCATGTATAGCTAAATGTCGCGATACCTTGGCATCAGGTCGTGTTCAGCCAGTACCCCATAAGCGGTAACTGTCTACAGATCGGTGTAAAATACGTAAAGCAATTCTCAAATTTCACAGCTGCTTCATTTTTTCAGTTTTGATAAAAACGCACAGCTTCCCGATCAAAATATCGGTAACAAACTCGCAATCAGCTAGTTACAGATTTTGGCGTTTAATTGAAAATGGAAAAGAGCAATATTCCAAAGTCATTGATAATATAGAAAAAATTGTTCCGTTTTCTATAACACTTTCATGCAGTCGATTGAATGGTACTTTTTAAATAGGAGAAAAGAGATGAAATAGGTACTCACCAGGTCTGGGTATCGTCGCGAGATAGTCCACGTGTGTCGTCTAGCTATTCCACAAACAGACTGATACTCAAACGGTACAGCAGCCGTAACTGAGGAGTCACCGCGGGGGAGGGAGTGATCTGTCACGGCGTTACAAGGAGCGTCTTAACACCGCGGGGGAGGGAGTGATCTGTACGGCGTTACAGGGAGCGTCTTAACACCGCGGGGGAGGGAGTGATCACTCACGGTGTTACAAGGAGCGTCTTAACACCGCGGGGGAGGGAGTGCTCTGTACGGCGTTACAGGGAGCGTCTTAACACCGCGGGGGAGGGAGTGATCACACACGGCCGGCGTTACAGGGAGCGTCTTGACACCGCGGGGGAGGGAATGATCACTCACGGCCGGCGTTACAGGGAGCGTCTTAACACCGCGGGGAAGGGAGTATGATAAANAACATCTTGGCGGAACGTTCAGTATCACCATTAACTCACATTAGTTTTTCATTTCAAATCAATTTTATTGTATTTAAAACACAATTGGAATAGGAACAGGCACTGCCTATTAAAGGAAAATACATACATTTCATACATTCACACATATATATATATATAGAGAGAGAGAGAGAGAGAGAGAGAGAGAGAGAGAGAGAGAGAGAGAGAGAGTGTGATATAGCACGGGAGTGGGAGTGATCAGTCACGGTGATACAGGAGGCGTCTTAGCACCGTTGGGGAAGGAGAGTGTGACATAGCGCAGGAAAGGGAGTGATAAGCCAAGTGCTTGAGGTCTCTGATCATCTACAATCACTAGCCCTCTACCATTGGGCAAGGGCCGCGGTTGCCGAGTGCTTGATGAGTATGACTGTCTACAATCACTAGCCCTCTACCACTAGGAAGGGACTGCGGTGACCGAGTTGTTGAGTCTTCCGTCCGTCTACAATTACAAGCCATCCACAACTAGGAAAGGGCCACGGTGGCCGAGTGATTGAGGTCTCTGACCGTCTACAATCACTAGCCCTCCACCACTTGGTAGGGCCCGCGGTGGCCAAGTGATTGAGGTGTTTGACCTTCTACAATCCCTAGTCCTCCACCACTGGGTAGGGGCCGCGGTGGCCAAGTGATTGAGGTGTTTGACCTTCTACAATCACTAGCCCTCCACCACTGGGTAGGGGCCGCGGTGGCCGAATGATTGAGGCGTTTGACCTTCTACAATCCCTAGCCCTCCACCACTGGGTAGGGGCCGCGGTGGCCAAGTGATTGAGGCGTTTGACCTTCTACAATCACTTGTCCTCCACCACTGGGTAGGGGCCGCGGTGGCCGAATGATTGAGGCGTTTGACCTTTTACAATCCCTAGCCCTCCACCACTGGGTAGGGGCCGCGGTGGCCAAGTGATTGAGGCGTTTGACCGTCTACAATCACTAGCCCTCCACCACCGGGTAGGGGCCGCGGTGGCCAAATGATTGAGGCGTTTGACCTTCTACAATCCCTAGCCCTCCACCACTGGGTAGGGGCCGCGGTGGCCAAGTGATTGAGGCGTTTGACCTTCTACAATCACTTGTCCTCCACCACTAGGTAGGGGCCGCGGTTGCTGAGTGCTTGATGAGTATGACTGTCTGCAATCACTAGCCCTCTACCACTAGGAAGGGACTGCGGTGACCGAGTTGTTGAGTTTTCCGTCCGTCTACAATTACAAGCCATCCACAACTAGGAAAGGGCCACGGTGGCCGAGTGATTGAGGTCTCTGACCGTCTACAATCACTAGCCCTCCACCACCGGGTAGGGGCCGCGGTGACCAAGTGATTGAGGTGTTGGACCTTCTACAATCACTTGCCCTCCACCACTGGGTAGGGGCCGCGGTGGCCAAGTGATTGAGGAGTTTGACCGTCTACAATCACTAGCCCTCCACCACTTGGTAGGGGCTGCGGTGGCCGAATGATTGAGGCGTTTGACCTTCTACAATCCCTAGCCCTCCACCACTGGGTAGGGGCCGCGGTGGCCGAATGATTGAGGCGTTTGACCTTCTACAATCCCTAGCCCTCCACCCCTGGGTAGGGGCCGCGGTGGCCAAGTGATTGAGGGGTTTGACCTTCTACAATCACTTGTCCTCCACCACTAGGTAGGGGCCGCGGTTGCTGAGTGCTTAAGGAGTATGAGTGTCTACAATTACTAGCCCTCCACCACTGGGAAAGGGCCACGGTGGCCGAGTGATTTTGGCGTCGGACCGTGTGCAATCACTAGCCCTCAGCCACCGAGTAGGGGACGCGGTGGTCGAGTGATTGAGGCGTCTGACCGTCTGCAATCACTAGCCCTCCACCACGGGGTAGGGGCCGTGGTGGCCAAGTGGTTGAGACGTCTGACCGTCTACAATCACTAACCCTCCACCAGCGGGTAGGGGCCGCGGTAGTCGAGTGGTTGAGGTATTTGACCGTTAACATTAACTAGCACTCCATCACTGGGAAGGGGCTGCGGTGACCGAGTTGTTAAGGCGTCTGACCGTTTATAATCCATAGCCCTCCACCACTGGGAAGGGGCCGGGGTGGTCGAATGGTTGAGTCGACAGTCCGTCTACAATAACTAGCCCTCCACCACTGGGTAGGGGCCTTGGTAGTCGAGTGGTTGAGGTATTTGACCGTTAACATTAACTAGCCCTCCACCACTGGGAAAAGGCCGCAGTAGCTGAGCGATTGAGGTATCTGACCGTCTACAATCACTAGCTCTCCACCACTGAGTAGGGGCCGCGCTGGCCGAGTGATTGAGGCCTCTGACCGTCTACAATAACTAGCCCTCCACCACTGGGTAGGGGTCGCGTTGGCCGATTGGTTGGGTCGTCCGTCCGTATACAATCACTAGCCCTCCAACAGCGGGTAGATGCCGCGGTAGTCGAGTGGTTGAGGCGTCTGACCTTCTACAATCCCTTGACCCCCACCACTAGGTAGGGGCCGCGGTGGCCGAGTGGTTGAGGCCTCTGACCGTCTACAGTCCTTAGCCCTCCACCACTAGGAAGGGGCCGCGGTGGCCGAGTGGTTGAGGCGTCTGACCGTCTACAATCCCTAGCCCTCCACCACTGGTTAGGGGCCGCGGTTGCAGAGTGCTTGAGGCGTCTGACTGTCTACAATCACTAGCCCTCCACTACTGGTTAGGGGCTGCGGTGACCGAGTTGTTGAGGCCTCTGACCGTCTACAATCTCTAGCCCTCAATACTCCGGTTTTCTTAAATATAATGAACAACAGTTTTCTGAATGTAAGATTTTAGAGGGTCCCGGCCGGAATTCGAACCCTTGATATTAGATTCTTATCTCTCTAACCAACTAAGCTAACTGGTCAAAGAAAGCTCAAACATTAAGGGGAGGTAACTGTATATACAAAAAACTACTAAGTACAGTGGGACAGGGATCCTTAGGTGTAAAAGCTCGGGCTATCCCCACTCAAGTGTCGCCACATTTCTTCTCCAAGCTACACTAAATTACATGTAACACATTCGTTTGACCTTCAACGATTGGATTGCTCCGTCGACAAATGAATGTTATAACACATTTTATTGATTTAATGTCTACAGTCAGCAGGCTAACAACTGGAAAATAAATCCCATCTATAAATTTAAACATAAGTGTTTTGTTGCCTGTAGTTATTTGTTTTGTTTATACGGGCGTAAAAAAAACCCACAGCAACAGCAACATGTCTGAACATAGTAAACACTTTTGAGTGAGCGACGAGTGTAAACATTTCGTGTGGATGACGAGTGTCTTGTTGTATGAGCGGAGACTGTGAACATTTCGTGTGAATGAGAGTGTGTCTAGTTGTATGAGGAACGAGTGTAAACATTTCGTGCGAATGACTAAAGTGTCTAGTTATATGAGCAACGAGTGTAAACATTTCGTGTGAATGAGAGTGTGTCTAGTTGTATGAGGGACGAGTGTGAACATTTCGTGTGAATGAGAGTGTGTCTAGTTGTATGAGGGACGAGTATGAACATTTCGTGTGATGGGAGTGTGTCTAGTTATATGAGGGACGAGTGTGAACATTTCGTGTGATGGGAGTGTGTCTAGTTATATGAGGGACGAGTGTGAACATTTCGTGTTGCGACGAGAGTGTCTAGTTATATGAGGGACGGGTGTGAACATTTCGTGTGATGGGATTGTGTCTAGTTACATGAGGGACGGGTGTGAACATTTCGAATGATGGGATTGTGTCTAGTTACATGGGGGACGTGTGTGAACATTTCGTGTGATGGGATTGTGTCTAGTTATATGAGGGACGAGTGTGAACATTTCGTGTGATGGGAGTGTGTCTAGTTATATGAGGGATGAGTGTGAACATTTCGTGTTGCGACGAGAGTGTCTAGTTATATGAGGGACGGGGGTGAACATTTCGTGTGATGGGATTGTGTCTAGTTATATGAGGGACGAGTGTGAACATTTCGTGTGATGAGAGTGTGTCTACTCACTTTGTATCAGGCAGGTGTAAACACAACATGCATCGCCTGTGTCTATAAAAATTCCAAGATTCAAAGTTATATAAAAAAAGGATAATATGAATAAATTATATGCATTTAAAACACAGGATTATTCTTTTATTATTAAGATTGGGCAAGGGGCTTTTTGTAAAGGGTCTGTCGACGGTAATCGTCATGAAACTGACGCTGGTGTTGGATACATTTCTATGCAGTAACGCAACATGTTTCTTCGACGTGGGTTTATCTTACTGTTCACTGTACATGTGTCCGCTAGGGATTTATCCCTATAGGGACTCTGTGGAAACTAGAACTGATCTGACTTTTTATACACTCGTAGACTGGAATACCAGTCTTCAAAAATCGTTTCATATGATAAATACATATATTTCAAAGCTAAAACAAATAATTACATAAATCCATGTATGCTGTTTTTATGGTTCTCCAAACCATGGAAAGATAAACGTAACAAAACTATTAAACTCCGTACTTACCGACGAGTTACGGGGGATAACGACACTAAACCCGCTTCACTACCGGAGCCATCTAGCCAAACAATCGGGAACCGTCGGCACTTTCGTACGTAAACGAGAGTATTTTTCTCGTTTACGGAAAGTGCCGACGGTTCCCGTTTGCTAGCCAAACTCAGACTCGGTTTTCTCCCTTTGATGAACCCGTGGATCAGAGAACGTATCCATTCTTTGTAAATAAGGTGGAAGACGATGTTCTTTTTCTCTATGATTACCCTATGTACTGTGATATAGGAGTCGTTCTATTTTATCATGCTGCATACTCTTTTAACCAGTTTGATATTATTTAAAATTCATGTGATACGTTGTTTTATTAACTACATAGATCTTCATTTTTTACCTGCAATGACTATATATCTTATGATGCAACGACGACGAGCCCTTTTAACATAACTGTTTGAATTTAGTTGTAACCATAAGGCACAGGACACACACTTTGGGATGACACCGTGACTATCAGATCCGATACTCCTCCCATGGAGTATTTAAGTAAGCAACGAGTGAGAACCATACACATTTTATTATTATAATAACTGAACTTTTATGTATTTTTTTAAGAAATAATTCGATGGAATTGATTAACTGCGTCTCGTGAGCCGACTCGGCTGTGTACCACTTATGTATATGAAATGGTGTACACTCTTTGATTGGTATGCATTATGATGTTGGTAATACGTGACATATTAATTAAATATTATTGATTGGTATAGAAATTACAACCTTTATCTGTCCGTTAAAAGATCAAAGTAATCCCCCTTACCGGTTCACCAGACACTTTGGTCATCACCCAGTGACGATTGTCTTATATATCTTCAAGTTTATTGTTATGTATATAGAAATCAATTTCTTTCCTGCATCTGTATACAACTTTTATCATTCTATGAATAAAAGAACCAAGATGGATATAAGCTAGAGTGCCTAACAATCGCGCCTCCTATTCCAGAGAGTTTCATGCTATTAAAGATGAAATACTTAAAAATATTGATTCAGAAAATAAACATCAATGATACATTTGAAGTGAACGGACAAATCAATTGTGAATCATTCGATAGAGATAATAAAAACATATCCGAGGAAGACAAATCTACAAAAAATTCACAGGTATAATGTGTAAGGTTGCACATCACCTTTACTAAAACACTAATCACAGGTATGATGTGTAAGGTAGCATATCACCTTAACTCTTACACGAAATTACAGGTATAATGTGTAAGGTAGCATATCACCTTAACTCTTACACAAATCACAGGTATAATGTGTTAGGTAGCTTTTGAACTGAACTCTAACACGAAATTGCAGGTATGATGTGTAAGGTAGCATATAACCTTAATTCTAACACGAATCACAGGTATAATGTGTAAGGTAGCATATAACATTAACTCTAACACAGATCACAGGTATAATGTGTAAGGTAGCATATAACCTTAACTCTAACACAGATCACAGGTATAATGTGTACTGTAGCATTTAACCTTAACTCTAACACGAAATCACAGGTATAATGTGCACTGTACAGTAGCATATAACCTTAACTCTAACACAGATCACAAGCATAATGTGTAAGGTAGCATATAACCTTAACTCTAACACGAAATTACAGGTATATTGTGTACTGTAAGGTAGCATATAACCTTAACTCTTACAGAAATCAGAGGTTTTATGTATTTTACGGTTGCATAATATATTCTTATTTTTGCACACATCACAGGTGTAAGGTGTTAGGGTAGCATACCGCCTTAACTCTTAACATGCCTGTAACTCACTGATGTAATACATGGTTAAGTACAGTATGAGGGCGCTATCTGACGCAATATATCTATTAGTTTATGTTAGAGTTATTTCCCCTTATTGTGTTTTCATTATTGTCATCTAATAATTAAAACCGTTCAAGGCCTCAGCACGAACCTCAATGATATGCTTAAAGTAAATTGTATCACATTTTCAGCGGCGCTAAGACATACCACGCCGAATAAATAATCACGGGGTGTTTTATATTGGGGATTCTATCTCAATACGACGTTTATTGGACCTCTGTTACACCATCAGACACGGCACTGCGTTCCAATATACCGATAAATTTATTCCAATAAATCTTACACTTGGTTCAGACACAGGAAATAATGGACTTCCATCACCAGGTTGTTCTGTATAGGTTAACACACCAATGTGAGGTGTTCCGAAAGTTGACATGACGTCTTATCTCTTTACACCGGACGTAGGACATGTTTATATCAAAGCTTTAGACGAAATGAAAATGAATTGCAATTAAAATCAATTTCCTGCATCTCATATTATACCATTCCGTCAGGAGTGTAACATTACATGTAAGGCCTCACGAGTTATTTCCCCTCGTTTACGCTCTGGAGTAAGAATTGTCGAATTATTTCCCTTTGTATAAATGGTAACCACCGGACAGGCCTCAGACCACAACTAATTTCCCTATGTGGTCTTACCAAAGAAGACCCCTTTAAACAATGCTTTATAGTTTTGCTCGAGACTTGATCTTTATAGGTTTTGTTCAGCTATCCAAGACACTTTTGTGGTGAGCTGGGAAAGTATTCATGACCTGCTTATATTTACGGTAATTTTAATTATGTCGACATAACCCCGTTGTACTATTTGACCCTGAAATTCATGTTCTGGGGCCCAACCACATACCATAACCTTCCGCCAAAACAAATCTAACACGAATCAATCAACCAGGTTAATTAAAGTGGGAAAGACCATGCTTCATTTTGGTATGACATATAGTTTCATTTCATGCACATGAAAGAAGTAAAAACTCATTTAAAAACGAGCCTAAAATTGATAAATGCACTAAATTCATGTACAACAAAACGGAAGCCTTACTGTGCATTGGTTTAAACTTTCTTTTATTTCAGTTCAAGCATGTTATTACAATGAACAGAGAAGACAAAGGGATATAGGAACAAGTGTCACTTGTGCATTAACTGTGATCTGAGGCCAATTGAAGAAAGTCGAGTTATAAGTGTGTTCTTTTTTAATTCCTTTTTTCGTTAGTTTAAATATTTCTATCTCAGCATCTCAGTACATTTGTCACTGAAGATGAGTGTTTAGATACGTGTGCTGTCTACTAAAAAAATACCCATTATATAATCGAAAAACAAACATCTGATATCAATGTTTCTTTGTTTTAACCTGAATTTTTCAACTAAGTATTGTTTCGGATGAAACGTCAATGTCTACTTATTGAGTTTCTTATTATCACAGCACCGCAGACAAGAATGTCGTACACTGATCGGTCAAAGACGCTCAACGAAAATGGTGATTAGGTAAAAATCAACAACTCATTATTATGACGTCACAAGTTAATGATTTCATTGACTTATAACATCGTCCCTACCTTGAGGATGTGACTAATCACCAACCCGAGGGGTGATTTATTTTGTTGTCTAACCCGAAGGTCTGCTGAGAGTAAGACAACCAAACAATCGTCCCAAGGAATTGAGATTAATAAGTTGCACGCTCTAGATAGTGGATGATTATAGTTCCCTCATTATGCCAATCTCATTTTTGAAAGCAAGTCTTTCAGCACTCGTACATGTAATCTGTTTGTATCTTGATTTGCATATGACCCCTCCCGTCAAGAACTGAATGTTAGAAATCCCGAACAATGGGAGATAGTTCTGTGAATGGCCGGAGAAAGCGAAATCAATAAAGTTACACGGTAATTTGTCACAGGGCGGGGCATCAGATATAGAATGAGCGGGGCAATCTGATACAGAAGGGGCGGGGCATCAGACACGAGAGGGGCGTGGTCAGATGTCCCTCAAATACACAACAGGATAAAACGAATGTCAGATTCATGATAACGTTTAATAAAAAGTCAACAGTATGATATGTGTAGTTACCCCAGAACCCAATGACACACATAGCAAAGTCACGTGCGAAATACCCGTCACGTATTGCCTTAGTAACTCCTGTTAAGCCTCCACTGTACCGTATATATTTACACACAAAGCTTAAAAGCAGACATACAGTCGCACAGTTTTTTGTAATATATAATTGTATATATAATTTCTTTTAGAATAAGTTCGAATTTGATATAACGTACAATTTATACATATTCCACAGCCCGTCATTTCAGAGAGGTAGGTATCTGTAGCTCTCCATTTCACAGTCACAATATATAATGACGTCACATGGACCTGTAAGGTCATGTTTAGCCGTGTGATACCAACTCTACTTAGTTTGCCATAAGTGTTGTCAATGAGAGTGATTGCACTAGAAACTGTTGATATACCGAGCCAAAGTTAACCTTCAAACACAATATCTAAACAGGCAGTATTTCTAAACTCTCCTAGTCCGTCTAGGAACATCTTGTTTCCGGGAAATCGAACGGTCTGCTCGCCAACGCATACTTCCGGACAAACAGCTACACGTAAGTTCCAAGTCATCCAAGCCAGGTACCCAGGGCCCCGAATCAGGGATAACCGATTGCAACGCAGAGCAAACGTCACTTCCGCCATCCTTTTATAACAAAATGGCGGCAATCCTGCGATCACGTGGCGAAATCGAGTTTCCCGGTGATGAAGTTTCCGAGTGCTCCGGGGTCATCAGACCGGTAGTAATCCGTACTCAGCTCCCGGAAGTACGCTAAGTCCACCTTCCGGGTGTTATTCTGTATCAATAGAGATAACAAACAAATTAGCAGGTTTATAAACAGAATCCAATGAGAAAATATAGACACAGAGTAAATCCCCCTCCTCACGCAAGCAAATAAAATGGGTGGTAGCCAAGGCGACCGGGGTTGGATTCCCCGATCGGACGTGAAAAGGTGTATTGGTTCACCTGCCCGACAACGTGGGTTTTATCCGGGTACTCCGGTTTCCTCCCACATTAAGATCTCCCGCGCGGTAATTATAACATCCGGGTTAACAAGAGGGGCTTATATAATATGTAATAACTTGTTTCATAATTGTTGTAAAATAAATAAAGTTTATATTTTAATAAAAAAAACACAACCTTCGACCTGACCGTATGCTAGCTTAAGAATTCGCAATATTATATTTAAGTTGGCTTTTTGTTTCGGCATCGGTTAATACTATTTTAAAGGTGGGTTCATCATTGTATCAACCTGACTAAATGTTAATTTATACTTACGTTGGAATTCGACACTACAGTAAGAAAACATGTTACTTGGACAATTTTAAAATTGTCTTCTAGATGAGGTCATCAACATAATATTTCATTACACGCATTTCGTACTGAAATCGGTAATTTTCTGTTAAAGTTGTAATGCATATCAAAACACCAAAATACAGAAGGCATATGTGAGTTTCTCCAGATTTTCGATTATTAAGCATATTCTTGTAGTTGAATATCAAAAATTGGTAAAACGCCAACGAACCTTCCATAAATAAATTACTGTCAAGCCATTATTCCGTCTTTTCGTATTGCAGAGTTATCTGCTCTTGAGAGAGGACCGTCATCAATTTTTGAGAAAACGACGTAATTTACTCACACAAACCAATGACGTAACAATCAATAACTGCTCACAAGAGAAGATAACTCTGCAATACGCAAAGACGGAATCAGATGGGCCGATATCTCACAAGTCCCGTGTAGTTACTTGTACTAAAGACGGAGTCTACTATCAAACGAAGGGGTCACAGGGTTTACCTTGCCTATACGACCTAAATCATAAATTATGTCAATTATTAAACGAACCGAATACATAACGAGACAAGTGATAGCTACATGTAGAATTACATATGTAAAGCCCATTCTAAACCCAATGCTCCTTTCTATTATTCAGGAAATAACATTTTCGAATTTTGATACTTATATAGAGGATCTGTCATAAGTGTCCCTCCATATATTAGATTCATGATACAAGTTTTCGATTTTTCATGTTTGCGAGCCTCTGGAGTTTTGCACTTTGCCGCCTCTGAAAGGATGAAAATTGCTCCACTTCACAATGACGTGACGTCATTTCCAGAGTGTTATTACACACGTTACATAAACATGATTTATGTGATGGCTTTATGACACTGCATAACACGGTATTCATATGATAAAATAATTTCTTATATTCTCAGAAAGTAGCCATAAAGCGCTTCCTGCGTACTTACAAACATGAAAACAAAGCCGAAAACCAGTGAAAATCCATCTTATATTAATAAAAATTAATAACGATTCAGTTTAAGAAAAAAAAAGAAGAAAGAATAAATAGGAAAACAAGACTTACACCCGAAAATAGGAGAAAGGCTTTTCGTGCATCTTTGGCGGGAATTCCAAAATCAGCCAGGACGTATTCGAACTCCTCCGCGTCGATCTTTCCATCTCCTGTAGACAAAAATAGTAAAGCTTATGATTAAATTTCGGACCAAACCGGTGAAAAGAATGAGTGAAAATATTGATCGGGAAATATCGCCGCAGTTGAGCATGCGTTTTTTGCACCCTCTACAATGAGGGAGAATTTCTCATGACAACGAATATTAGCACAGAACAAAACATATCTAGAAATTTCATGTCAAGGGCGAAATTAACACTAGGCAAGGATTAAGTTCAAGGTATTCTGGTTTTTAATGAGGAGTCCCCAATAAAGATTTTATTTTGACATTATGACAATTGTAGATTCTGGAGTTGAATTTCTCATACATTTTTAGTCTGTGGGTTTTTTAACGACACACACAAGTAAGTTATCATTCAATATAAATTAGCACCACTGTTTTACTTTTCAAGAACAGGTTTTCTGAAAGTACCACAGACAGACAAACAGACAGACATGCAGTTTTTATATCCTCGTAAGTCGAGATTTTCACAAAACAAAACGCTTTTTTACGATCACACTATATATTGCGTGTCATGCATAGTGCTGTTATTGTTTATAAGGCGCTTAAAGAGAATTTCATTCCAAATTGTTTTCAACAATCTGTAAATGTTTATCAGCAATTATTCCCCGATACATTTGTATCATCATTGAGACAAATATAGTTTCGATCACCAACTTTTCCGTCACACAAAGAAACGAAATTTTCACCATTTCAGTTATTTCCCAAGCAGACAAAGATGGATTGTGTTTACTTAAATGAAACACACGATATACTACGTGGCAAAATGGATCGGTATAGCTCTGACCCACAGTGTATATCCTTACATTGAATCCAAATAAACATATTATTCTTTTGTCATCGTCCATTGCTGGAACTGACCATTGCTGAAACTGACCATTGTGATAACTGGATTGTCCAGTACTGACCTGTCCTGTCGTAGAGATTAAATTTGTATTCCACATATGACTCCAGCCAGTCCGGCAGCTTCCGGTCAGCTGGGAGAGGGTCAGTTTTCTTGGCGTCTTTGATAGACTGCTCGTTAAACGATGTCCACATCTTGAGCTAAGGAGACAAATGACAGATCAGAGGCAAACATATAGCAGAGGGGTAGGGCAGTCGGACACGGGAGTTGACATTAATCGGACATGAAAAGGGGCGGGGTCAGTCGGGCATGGGAGTGTCATTACACTGGAAATAGTAGGGGCATTTCATTTCATCCCCCCCACCCCACCCCTATTCTTCGAATAGGCGAGCTAAAAACTATATACATATACAAAATGAGTACAAAAGCTATTACAGTGAGCAAACCTTAATGACTTTTCTTATATCTACCAAACGAGTTTGTTTTAAATACCTCCTATTTTGCTTTGCTTAATGCTACGTACATGTAAATGCAGAGAGACCACACTTCTTACTTTCGGAACGTATTTAGACTTACCCATTCCCCTATGGTGATTTTTCCGTCATTATTTTCGTCGCCCTCGTCCTGTAGACGCCGCCATATTGTCCGGAATAACTCGTGGGTTTTCGTGTATTTTTCACAACCAAGCTTCCATCCACTCCAGTCACATATTTTCTACAAACATTGTAAACAAGATTTATATATATATACACAATGTGTTGTATATATATATATATACACAATGTGTTGTTTATATATATATATACACAATGTGTTGTTTATATATATATATACACAATGTGTTGTTTATATATATATATATACACAATGTGTTGTTTATATATATATATATACACAATGTGTTGTTTATATATATATATATACACAATGTGTTGTTTATATATATATATATACACAATGTGTTGTTTATATATATATATATACACAATGTGTTGTTTATATATATATATATACACAATGTGTTGTTTATACATATACACACACAATGTGTTGTTTATATATATATATACGCAATGTGTTGTTTATATATATATATATACGCAATGTGTTGTTTATATATATATATATATATATACGCAATGTGTTGTTTATATATATATATACACAATGTGTTGTTTATATATATACACACACAATGTGTTGTTTATATATATATAGATATATACAATGTGTTGTTTATATATATATATATACGCAATGTGTTGTTTATATATATATATACACAATGTGTTGTTTATTTATATATATACGCAATGTGTTGTTTATTTATATATATACGCAATGTGTTGTTTATTTATATATATACACAATGTGTTGTTTATATATATACACACACAATGTGTTGTTTACCGAACGCGTTACAATGACATCGTTGATGCAGAAAAAAGGCATATATAGGAACCATGCTATCACTGTATTTAGGTGTTATATTTGTTTTATATACAATTCTTATATCTTAGTACATTGTATACCATATGCATATTGTATTTCATAGTAGATTGTATACCGTTGTATATAAAAAAAACACCATTATATCCAGTGTATGTACATGTATATTCAAAAACATTATACTATATTATCATATTTAACGTATTTTGATGCACTGTATAATTAAAATGTCTTTCTACATGCAATCTGTATATACTAATAAATTGAGATATTGGAAAATCGAGCCCCGGTCGTCTTATTGAAAGGTGAGTACACTAGCCACTGAGCCATACGACCAACCAACATCATTGACGGGTGATTGGTCAGTCCAATCCTCTGTACACAATGTTTAGCAATAAATATGTTTGAATTAAGTACACCGAAAACCGTTTGATCGTGTACGTGACTTTATATATTTCCACGTTCGATTGGAACATTTGTTTGTTTGTGTTTTACGTCCGATCAACAGCTATGGTCATTTAAGGACGTGCCATGTGAGGAAAGCTGGAGTTTCTGGAGAAAAACCACCGACCCACGGCCAGTACCTGGCGACTGCTCCACATAGGTCTCGAACCCGCGACCCAGTGGTGGAGGGCTAGTGGTAATCCACGTAGGTCTCCAACCCGCGACCCAGTGGTGGAGGGCTAGTGGTAGCCCACGTAGGTCTCGAACCCGCGACCCAGTGGTGGAGGGCTAGTGGTAGCCCACGTAGGTCTCGAACCCGCGACCCAGTGGTGGAGGGCTAGTGGTAGCCCACGTAGGTCTCGAACCCGCGACCCAGTGGTGGAGGGCTAGTGGTAGCCCACGTAGGTCTCGAACCCGCGACCCAGTGGTGGAGGGCTAGTGGTAGCCCACGTAGGTCTCGAACCCGCGACCCAGTGGTGGAGGGCTAGTGGTAGCCCACGTAGGTCTCGAACCCGCGACCCAGTGGTGGAGGGCTAGTGGTAGCCCACGTAGGTCTCGAACCCGCGACCCAGTGGTGGAGGGCTAGTGGTAGCCCACGTAGGTCTCGAACCCGCGACCCAGTGGTGGAGGGCTAGTGGTAGCCCACGTAGGTCTCGAACCCGCGACCCAGTGGTGGAGGGCTAGTGGTAGCCCACGTAGGTCTCGAACCCGCGACCCAGTGGTGGAGGGCTAGTGGTAGCCCACGTAGGTCTCGAACCCGCGACCCAGTGGTGGAGGGCTAGTGGTAGCCCACGTAGGTCTCGAACCCGCGACCCAGTGGTGGAGGGCTAGTGGTAGCCCACGTAGGTCTCGAACCCGCGACCCAGTGGTGGAGGGCTAGTGGTAGCCCACGTAGGTCTCGAACCCGCGACCCAGTGGTGGAGGGCTAGTGGTAGCCCACGTAGGTCTCGAACCCGCGACCCAGTGGTGGAGGGCTAGTGGTAGCCCACGTAGGTCTCGAACCCGCGACCCAGTGGTGGAGGGCTAGTGGTAGCCCACGTAGGTCTCGAACCCGCGACCCAGTGGTGGAGGGCTAGTGGTAGCCCACGTAGGTCTCGAACCCGCGACCCAGTGGTGGAGGGCTAGTGGTAGCCCACGTAGGTCTCGAACCCGCGACCCAGTGGTGGAGGGCTAGTGGTAGCCCACGTAGGTCTCGAACCCGCGACCCAGTGGTGGAGGGCTAGTGGTAGCCCACGTAGGTCTCGAACCCGCGACCCAGTGGTGGAGGGCTAGTGGTAGCCCACGTAGGTCTCGAACCCGCGACCCAGTGGTGGAGGGCTAGTGGTAGCCCACGTAGGTCTCGAACCCGCGACCCAGTGGTGGAGGGCTAGTGGTAGCCCACGTAGGTCTCGAACCCGCGACCCAGTGGTGGAGGGCTAGTGGTAGCCCACGTAGGTCTCGAACCCGCGACCCAGTGGTGGAGGGCTAGTGGTAGCCCACGTAGGTCTCGAACCCGCGACCCAGTGGTGGAGGGCTAGTGGTAGCCCACGTAGGTCTCGAACCCGCGACCCAGTGGTGGAGGGCTAGTGGTAGCCCACGTAGGTCTCGAACCCGCGACCCAGTGGTGGAGGGCTAGTGGTAGCCCACGTAGGTCTCGAACCCGCGACCCAGTGGTGGAGGGCTAGTGGTAGCCCACGTAGGTCTAGAACCCGCTACCCAGTGGTGGGGCGCTAGTGGTAGCAGAATGTCAGACGCCTTAACAACTTGGCCTACGACCCAGTGGTGGGGGCTAGTGGTAGCAGAATGTCAGACGCCTTAACAACTTGGCCATCGCGAACCCCCTTCGATCGGGAAATCGAACCCCAGTCGTCTTATTGAAATATGGGTACATTAACCAATGCGCCGTCCCTTCACCCAACTTTAATAACCTTTGATAATAGTGTAGGAAACGTAAATTAACAATTAACTTTGAGAATCAATTGATGGGATACCGTAGAGGTACTTGGTCACTCTAGACAAGTTTGCTTCTGTATCAATTGACCTGTTTCAATTACAGATCCTAAATCAGTTCCAAATCGTTAATGGATATGCCTGATAACATGGGTCTTGATAGAGAATGTTTCGGCATTTCTGAAGGTAACAAATTGTCATGTTATGCATATACATGTATGATAAGTCCTGGTAGTAAGATTATCTCCTGATCAAAGGGGAGATACGTACATTTCCGGATATTTAATACCAGTCCCTATTTTCATTTTGTTTATGAGCAAATAATCTGGGTAGAAGAAATGCTTTTGAAATTTGTAATAGAAGTGGGATAAAAAGGGAGGAAATTCACTAGAAGTTAATACGTTTAATCCTCTAGCAAGAAGCTGTATAGTGATACTCACTTGTCTCGCTAATTCCATGTCCTTCCATTCTAGGTTTCCGTCCTTGTTTAGATCTGCAACAAAAATCTACTATTAGCAAGCACGGACTCTGACAAGTGTCCACACAAAATACTGACATCCATGCCAAACATTGACATCTGCACATAAGCAATTTCGTAATAACATCGACAGAAGGAAAAATACCCAAAACAATAAATAATAAAGCTTAGTTTGTGNATGTATATTGCACATTAAAATGAAAATAAAAATCAAATTAAAAAAAAAAAAAAAATTTTTTTTTTTTAATTGAACATGCCAAGATTCTCACCCCAATGTCAATATATTATTGTGGATCACAATACACATACAGACTGGCTGTAGAGATCTGAGCTACGCCCTGTGGTTCGAGCCACACTTGTGGCTGCTACATATATTTAGCTGTAATATGCTTTTGTCTTCATTAGCTTCAGTCTACCCAGCTGTATAAAGTGAGAGATCCAAGTGAGTGTATCGTGATGTGCCATCGTTGAACACGGCACTTTACCCTGATTGCTTCAGTTTATCTAGCAGTGCAAATTGGTATCATCAGACTGTGACGGAATCACAGAAATATCTTGTACCATCGTTTGCGTTTCTAAGTTTTGTTTGTGTTTAAGTCCTCAAAGTGTTCCTGCTTTTAAAATATCAGCGTTTTAAACTGACCGTTTAAAATGGCAATCTTTTCGGCTAAAATTGTTGGATTACAATTTGTAATGGGGTGGCCAAAATTTAATGAAATTGACTGGGATTTGAACCGGAAACTACCTAGTCACTGGAAATGGACACAGTCGAGATCAACGGGCATGGGGTACGGTGTGTGCTGGTTCGAGGGATGAGCGGGATGAGCGGGGCGGGCGGGGCGGGGCGGGGCGGGGCGCAAAAACATGAGCTTTCCACAGTTATCATTCAATAGTAAACACAGGAGAATTTAAACTCGCTGTGACTTTCCCATTGGTACGTATCCATGACTAGGTAAAATTCAACTCTTACAACAAGAGTTCCACAGGGGCGGACATATATTTGTCACCCTTCTTATTAGTAACACTCTTTCTGATTAGATATCTTGTCGGGGTCTATATTCTATAGGTCCCCGCGCTCTAGATCTACCAGGGTCTATAAAAGTACGTGCGAGGAGGGGAGATAACTCAAACTAGAATCTCTCTTCATAACAACAAAAATGGCGTCCGACACACTCAAGCGATCGAGGTTTGCAAATCATTCACAGGATGAAATATCCTACAAGTAATCTAAAACGACAGCAAATTCAACGAAGCAGGCAATGAGGGGGCCATTAGAGTGGTAATTACAAAGTTGGATGTGTATTGTCCGAAATATTGCCGAAACGGTGTCCGGTAACAGTAACGGCTATTTTATTTTGGTAGCAGTCAATTCGTACAACTCAAACTCACAAAGTGATTTATAGTTTTGCAGAAAAAAAGTAATAAAAAATTGTCAGGGTGACAAATTCGTTATCTGGGTGAGGAGGGGTCTACGGGTTCATAGACCCCTTTGCTCTTTATAGACCAGACGCCTTTGGCTTGGGGTCTATATAGACCAGGTCTATGAGCCCGTAGAATCCTCCTAACCAAGAGATAACTAATAATATTGCTGCAGCCGTATTTTTAAGGACGCCAAACCCCATTTTTGAATGCAACACTCCGCCTTCCTGACATATATATGTATCGCAGGTTTGATGAATGTAAAAGAAATATCAAGGAAGTTATCCCCCGGCAAAAATCTGATGTAAAAAATGGACAAAGGGCCTTTTTCTGCATGTTTTACCATGCAATACTCAACCTTACTTGCATACAGTGTCCAAATATATGACTAGTTTGGCAAATACAGATGAAACAGTAAGGAAGATACGTTTCGAACAATCTATGGTACATGTATCATAATCGAAGAAAGGGCCGTAACTCTGTATATACCGGTAAACGAGACCCGGCGTTAGTACGCAGAACTCCGCCGCTCAAAATTACATAAGTACGGCAAGTTTTGTAAATGTAGGAAACATTGCAAAGAAGTTGTGGTCCGGATAAATTCTGGTACGAAAACGAAACAAGAGGCCTATGGACCTAAACGGTCATCTGACAACAAAGACTGAGCAGGGAGAATGGCAACTTTTCAACTTTCAATGAAATATTCTAAGAATTTGTTTTCCATGATGGTAGTTTTGGTCAGCAGTTGGTAACTATTTGTCAGTAAAGCTATCAGAAAGCAGTTAAACCTAAATCTGAAAAGATTTCTCCTTTAAAGGCCCGGCCCGCTGTCAACGGTGGTTAAACCTGCCTCATTTAATTATTGTTTCTAAATGATGTTTCATACTGAAATTGTTGTAATCTACTTTTGGCATTAACGATTAGTGTTTAAAAGCAGTATTTTAGGTAATTTCCTTTCTCGGGGCGCCACCCTCTCTACCCCCAGGGGTCGAACCAGCCTCATATATTCAACAAAGAATCGACCTCCTTCCAGTGGAACTGGAGAAGAAGTTTAAAAAATGTTTTTCAAGATGGCGGCCATCTTGGATTTCAGACCAACCCGAAAAAATAACAACACCTGGTCAGGACCATCTCAGGATCATTTCAGGCAAGTTTGACCTCAATCCCACTAAAGGAAGTTGAGAAGAAGTTTAAAATGTGTTTTTCAAGATGGCGGTCATGATGGCCATCTTGGATTTTGCACCGACCAAAAAAATAACAACATTTGGTCAAGACCATCTCAGGATCATTTCAGGCAAGTTTCAGCTCAATCCCACTGTTGAAAGTTGAGAAAACGTTTAAAATTGGTGTTGTTTAGGAAAACCATGATTGCTCAATCATATTACAAAATGGCCGCCATGGCTGCCATGTTGAAGTTTTGACGGGGATGAAAATTAACAACACTTTGTCGGCTTCCTTTCCTGAACAACCCCCACCAATTGTTAGCCCAATGGCACCAGTGGAACTGGAGAAGAAGTTTAAAATGTGTTTTATAAGATGGCGGCCATCTTGGATTTTGGACCGACCCGAAAAATGACAACACTTGGTCAGGACCATCGCAGGATCATTTCAGGCAAGTTTAAGCTCAATCCCACTTGTGGAACTTGAGAAGAAGTTTAAAATGCTGAAAGTTTACGGACGGTGCACGGCGGACGACGACGGTCGAAGCACGATGACTATAGGTCATCCTGACCCTTTGGATCAGATGACCTAAAAATAAAGGGCCGTAACTCTGTATGTAACCGTAAACGAAACTCGACTAAATTGTCGCAGCATTCCGCCTTTCCGGGATACATAATTACGGCAAGTTTTGTTAAAATTGCACAGAAAATGGGTTCCGGATAAACTCTGGTATGAAATCAAAACAAAGGGCTGTAACTCTGTGTATAGCTGAGCATGGGATCCGACTTCATTACGCGTCACTCTGCTTTTTTAGATGCATAAATGTAGCAAATTTGATAAACGCAGATGAAATAGCAATAGTGTTGACGCCTTAGCAATCCTTACCAAAATTCGTCCAGTCGTCGAAGAAGGTCACTGAATAATCTCTAAACTATTTATAGATATACACGTATGTGAGTTATAAGCATGTTGCCACATGACAGGAGAATTATTTGAATAGTTTACATAAAAACATACAGCCACCATTTATTGATTTTTATTTTGTATGTAAACTAAGTAAAGCCAGCGGGCGTATCAGTGGATAATGACACGAACTCAACAGGCGTTCTTTACCGCAGGGTGTTGTCCATATAGACGATTAAATGTGATGCTAGTTATTAATTTGCCAAAACATTCTGAAATTCTATCAATTTGGTTTAAAGGGACTCTAGTGAAAACAGAGCTTTTGATGGAGTGGTGTTTGCGATTTGGTCCAAATCGGAAGCGAAATAATTCTTGCGTGTGATTATGTCAGATTTTGATTTCAATTATAATACTAAAATCGCATTAAGGTTCCCAAGAAAACACGTGTTTCTATACAAACGAACGGCGGACCGCTAAAGCTGTTACCATAAACCTTTTATTATCACGCGATTAACAAGTGAGAGCTTTTTTATTACGTTACTGCCAACAATGGGTTTGTGTATTTATGTTTAACAGAGAACATGTTACTTAACAACGAATGACATAATTTCTTATTTCCAAGTCATACGTAAAGCGCATATAATTAAAGTAGTTTTCATGCTGTATCTGACTATCTGTGCTGATTAAGTATAGTTTAATGCAGAACGTATTCTGCACGCGTTCAAAAGATTCTTCAACTCGTTTATGGAAGTAATATGATAATAAGAACGAGTATGAGATTCTTTTCATCACATTTTCGATATATGCATACAACAAATTTTTTGAACATTTAGACAGGAAATGTCATCGACAGAATATGTCTTTGTTTTCAATTTGTGACGTCATCGTATTGTAACCGTGACGTGACAATGGGCGATATTAATCACTTCACCTAAAGTTCATGCATTGATGAAAAAAATTGTCTTTTCAAGACACTTCAGCCGTAGTCTGTGAACAATGTAGAATCTCCAAAAAAATGAATTATATTTTCATTTGATGTTTATACGTCTATAAACGATTTTAACAGATCCATTTTATTGTTGAGGGTTTCCCAACATAGCAATTTTGACTAAACGTTCATTTTGACATCTTGTCTCCATGACGTCATACTTATTAATTCTGATGTCATAAGCTGTTGTTACACGAGACTTTAATTGAAAACGAATTTCAGATAAGAGAACATCATATGATCGTTTACATATCTTCCCCGGTATCAACTCGATACATCTATATCAGCCCGAGGGATGATACGGGGTGAAACATGGTCATATCATAACCATTGTATAATACACTACATAAAATATTTTAAATAATTCAGTCCATAATCAAAATTATTGTCATTTACAAAAATCCAGATATTTGGCGAGCAAGGTCGATATGTTTCAGCTAGTACAAACGTATATGTAAAACAACAGATATAACAGATAAGTATAGGCTATAATAATTTTATCACATTTAATGTACCAAGAGCTTATGCAGTGTTTAAGGAAACTGTTTCCTCTCGCGAACGTTAAGTTTCCCAACATCGCAAGTTCGACTAAACGTCCCTTTTGACATCTAATCACCATGACGTCACATAAATTAGTTCTGACGTCATAATGTGTAGTTACACGATGAAATACGTATCAATGTTACAGCCGTTCCCGGGACACGCAATACGTGGTTTACTATATCACTCTATGACGTCATAAAATGTATTACCCCACCGACAAAGCTCCAAACCCATCAGCTGGATTTATTTGGCGGTTATCCATCAAAAACCAAAATAGAATGGGTTCCGAACATTTAGCGCAATTTTACACTATGGTAATGTGACGTCATTGTTGTGGTTGTGTACAAGCAAACTGAACACTAAACGGCATAATAATGTTAAAAATAATGTTTTGTAAAATATAATATTTGTATACATCATTGTATAAAGAGCAATCGGTGGTATGAATTAATTGAAGCACCATATACAAAAAAATTGTGTTTAAAGATTCAATCTTGCTTTGTTTGAATTCATGGGGTGATAAATTGAGTTGGTCATGAAACAAATTTAAAGGAACTGCAAAGCAGTTCATGTTGAATTTGTTTCAAGACCAACTCAATTCATCACCACATGAAATCGACCCAAGCCAGATTCAAACCTTATATTTCAATCAACGTTTTTTCTCTCAATATTTGAAACTTTTGAAATTCATTCTGATAGTTTGGTCCAGGTGCTGAGCTTGTGCAAGTCTACGTATTGAGGTAATGTAAAGCAAATAATTGAAGGACCATCCTACAACATGATGATGTACGCTGATAGTTCAATACAGCCAAATTATTAGGAAACAAAATACAAAAACATAATTTCAATGTCATATTTTTTTTTTTTTGATGAATTCATAAGATATCAAATTTTCTGACGCGTCATCACGGAAGAATGATGTTTAGACGCGATGCGCATGCCTTTTATTAGCTCGAAGAGGAGAGCCGCTAAATTTAGGGTTCTACATCTTCTGGAATGTGAAGCTGAAGTAATCGAATGTCGAATTAGACAGGAAACCAGACGTGGCTGGAAAGGACGAGGCAATTTGATATGACAGTTGCCTGTTCTGTTTGCTGTTCGACTGCATTACATATAAGACGGGACTACATGAATCTACGTTGTTTCCGATTTGTACCGGGGTTGAAGCTGGAGGGAGAATTTCTAGGGCAGTTCATGACTTGTCACTACCGCTAGCAACCGTGAGCTGATACTATTTTGCTGATTGATCGTTTTTGTTTGTTTGAAAAGTTTCTTGTGTAGCTTCAATAAATATGTAAAATCTCATCAAGTGGTATCTTCTTTGTTTAAACATGTCAATAGTTATCTCCCTTCGCAAAAGCATACGCACAGGCAATGTTAATCTGGTCAAATAAATCGGCAAATGAATCAGGTTACATTTGGTAGTTGCATTGAGTCCAACTTGAGTAGGAATTGAAATATATATTTATATAGAATGAAGAGCACAGTACTCTGTTATTGCGCGAACGTATAGTAACGTTCGACGGACCTGTGCAATGTATTCATCCGCACAATAAATATTAATAAAAAGGTAAAAAATCTATGATGTCACTTAATAAGTTGTTGTGTTTATTCATAAAAAAAATATTTGTGGGAATAAGGTGATTGTATCGTCCACTCCTATAGCGTGGTAAAGACGCTGGTAGGCTCGCAGCAGACGACAGCTGGCGGGAAATGTTGATGTACAGGTTAAACATGGTATAAGTACGTAAAATCAGCGGCGATATCGACTTTGATGTGATCAGACGACAGTGTAACATATGCTGGATGTCCACGGGATCTATTTATAGACACACGCGCCGTGTCCTACATATAAGGTCATTAGTTACGATCATCAGGACGTAAAGTTACCACATCAAAATTATCTATCACCGGAAATAATGACGCGGGGTTTCTTTTCCGAACGGTTTACGTACGACCTGACGTCAGCGCAGTTATTTGACAAACAATGACCCCACTTACCGAAAAATAAATGGAACTCGTGGATCAGTTTCTTCTTCTGGAACTCCGACAGCTCCGGATTGAAGAAACCAAGAACGATCCCCATCTGTTTCTTCTTGTTGCGGAATCCAGTCCGGACTACAATGGATAAAAGACAGCAATTAAAGCCCAGACAGACAGCTTATAATTAACATCCAGACTTCAAAACAGACAGACAGACAGACAACAGTTAACGTCTTGACTTCTAAACAGACATACAACAGTAACTGTCGGACTTCCAGACAGTCAGCAATAAATATTTCTTCATATTACAAATGCAAAGTAAAGCTTTGTCCTTCTTCACGACCGGACTCTGCAACGTTAGCGCGTAGCTAACGTCCCTCCCTAATACAAACCCAAACCTAAGCTTTGTCCGAACGTCCGACTACAACACATAAAACGGTAACTGTACCTGCCTGTTAAAGCACAAATAAAAAATACGTTCCTCCTGACATCCGTTTTAAAACAAATACACTCAGTTACCGTTCTAGTCTGTTACAAGCCAAATCAAAACTTTGTGTTTGCTTGCGTCAATACCCGTAACAGCTGTTCCCGTGATCAGTGCACAGCGCATGCGCATTATATATATGTTGTCAACAGATACAGCTTTACATGTACATTTGCCTCGGTGAGATCGATGAAACAAGTGACCCAATCGGTGACAACACGTGTAGTGTATATCTATATGATCATTTCTACAGTAGAGCTTTCATCTGACATTCACTCGACCCACTGCAGGTCCGGAGATAGAATAGGCCTGCTCTATCGCACTATTCCGTCTTTGCATATTGCGGAGTTATCTTCTCTTGTAAACAGGTATTGATTGATTACGTCATTTTCTCTAAAATTGATGGCGTTACTCTCACAAGCGCATGACGTAACAAGCAATACCTGCTCACAAGAGCAGATAACACTGCAATACGCAAAGACGGAATATGTCGTATAACGCGACTAATGCGGGCGCCCTGCTGAATCGGGGGCTTCCTTCTTTGTCTCCTGCTAAGGACACATTGACGAAACCACACTTGATCTGCTGTCCCCCTCCCATTGCAATGTTTGGGGTCTTTATATTTTCTCTCTCTACTTCCTAAAAACCTTTTTGTTTCCTTGTGCCTTGCTTGGCAATACCTCACTGCTCACGTAAGTGTTGAGCGTTCGCACAAGTGGGGTAGGCAATGGGTTTTATCCAAGGCCGGGATATAAGTCCTTAAAAAATGGTAGTTGTTTTTTCCTGCTAAACGTTCAGAATTTAAGGTTATCAGAACAACTTGTGTATCCGTTGTCATGTATAATGTTACCGGACAGACTACTGTACTGGGTGCCTTCGGCATGGTATTTCAGTGAGGTAGCACTCACAAGTTGGCATCAGATCCGCGCTATCGCATACCCTGTATCCAGCACCATACACAAAATCACGCAAACATTACTACATCTAACATGGAGACACCGTCCTTAAATGACCTTAGATGTTAATGGGACGTGAAACAAAATAAAACCAAACCAAAACCTGACATCCACCGGCTTGACCGACCACCAGCTTGACCGACCACCGGCTTGACCGGAAGAATAAATGTGTCACTTGTGTTATCATCCAATACACTGCAAGTCGACATAATCACGACAATGTATGTTTTACACGTGACGTCATGACAGTATGACGTCACATTGATACAAGATGCACAATTAAGTACCGGGAGAAAATTCACGTCGTTTGGCAAAATACCTTTTGACGTCTAATCGGGAATCGAACCCCGGCCGTCTTGGTGAAAGGCGAGTGCGCTACCCATTGCGCCATTCGGCCACGATGTAAAATTTCATGGGCGGATTGGTTGAGTGGTTAACACTCCGGCCTTCCACGCAGCCGGCCGGGGATCGATCCCCGAGGTCATCGTACGCATGGATATTCAGAGAAGGTGTTTTTCTCCTACACACACAACTCTACANCGAAGTCATCGTACGCATGGATATTCAGAGAAAGTGTTTTTCTCCTACACACACAACTCCAACAACCCAGGTGAGGTATAGATTGGTCTGGGGTGGATGTTGTGGTATCTGTGCTGTAGCATTCAAGTGGGGTGGCTCTATAAATGATGCCGTTGGAATCACGGTCCCAGTACAAACAGAGCACATTACATCTCCAGCACACACGCAGGCATACACACATAGGGATATATTAGCCAGGTGGCATATGACTCATAGTTAGCGCCTGATAGGGCAGCTACTGCGAATTCCTCAAAATTGTATTGATTGTATATATATGTAATGTAAAGCGCTTTAGAGTGGCTTATGTTAGCTAGATAGGGCGCTATATCAAATGTTGTATATTTATTTATTTATATCGGAATTGATGTTTAATACACAAACTATACGTATTACATATTCATGATATGTATCTGTTTCGACAATACGTATGTTTAAAACTTCATTATATAATGTGAGATCTTGTTAAACACTGAATTTATGTTCAGCTGAGTGTGAAATAAAAATTCATTTTTTAATCAATTTTATCGCCCCCAGTAACGCTAGCGACAACAGATCGTAATGACGATACACCAGGTATTTACATAATGTATTCGATAAATGCTTATAAAGATGTTTATTCTAGAGATGAACAGCCGGTAGGGGCTATACATAAGTTTGTCCGCCGCCATTCGGTACAAATGCCGAGCGCCGAACGATAGTGCATGTTAAAAAGGTGGAAAAGCTCCCGAGGTCTGAAAACTGACCCCACAAAAAATTATGTTGCTAAAATCAAATTCCTAGTAGTTGGTAACAGTTTATCATCGTTGAAAAGATGGATAGTTTCTAATTCATTGATGTTATATAAGTACTTATCCACGCAAAGTATGCTCCTGAAACAGGCACGATCTTTGTTTTCTCCAAAGAAGGTCTCAAGCTCTTTATAGACACAGCGATTATGTGCGCACGCACGCACGCGCGAACACCTCCATTCTCACGCCACTGGCTTGTCTGTTTGAGACGTCACGCTATTTGGGAAACCATGTTTAACAGTGTCGACGTCATCATCCACAAATGAGAGGCTTCGCGAAAACATCGGAAACCTTTTTCATCTAAAATTCTCGCCGGTTTCATTAAGTTTAAGCATTGTTCTTTAAGATATAAAGAAGTTCACCAACAAATAAGGATTATACCTGTGTGGCAGATTTCAATTGCGCAAAGGATCACAGTCGCTTTCTTCTTTCTAGCTTCGCTCTTGGGGGCATTTCCCTTAAGCTCAGTGGTAGACATAAGGGTCGAGGGAATAGGATCCTCGCTGGAAGCACACTACGTCTCTTTTGTGAATGATGCATATGTATAACTGTTAATAGTTAAATAAGTTGCGAATTATATGTATGGTTGTTTTTTATGTTTGCTTTGTATTTTCCATTGCATGTCATATCTGTATGTGACCTTATGTGTCTCTGTAGATGACATGAATGATTAAACTCCTTACCACAGAAATCACACTTGTTACTATACCGTACCGATTCTAAATTGAACTGTCCATTCTCTCAGTTATATATGTGTATACAAATATGTATATTGTACTTCATTTTCCATATCTGCAACTTTATTTCCTCATGTAACACATATTATGTGTCTGAGTGTCAATACAATTTTGCTTGTATACATGCATGCACCTGTCCATCCTGTCAAAATTTAATATATGAATTCATGTACATGTACCTCATGTTACACATTTCCATGTGTCTGAGTGTTGGAAATAAAATCTGAAAAATCTGAGAAATCTTAAAAGGATTTGGCAACAAGCTTAGAGCTCATATACATGTAATTAAGCCAAGGGGAAC